CTGTAAAGTCTAAAAAGAGCATGTTTTAAATTGCAGGAAGTGAAAGCGGAGTTAGTGGATTGAGAAAAGGTTAGTTGATGTGTATGAAAGCAGGGGGGGGCTTTGAGATTTGCTCCCTGGCTTGTTTTTAATTATTACCGTGTTACAACAAGGTTGTTTGGAATTCACAGGGTGAATGCTTTGCAGGAATGCAGTGTTGAGTTTCTATTCATGGATCCTGCATAGTTTAGGTGGAGCTGATCTTGCTTAAGAGGTGTCTTCAGTTGTGTAAGGTCATTTAATCCGTAAACAATTAATTGTAAAAATAACACAAATATTTGATCGTACTGTAACTCACTTTACTGAAAGCTACAGCAAATTTAGTCATCTTGGCTGCGATAATCCCTTCCACACAGAGACCCACATCCCATCATGTTTACTGCAGCTGCCACTGTAAAGTGAATAAACAGGAGCTCATTTTACCCTCCGCTGTGTCAGGTAGGCTCTGCTGTGATGTCTGCAGAGATGCACGCTGTGAATCTCTGACTGGTTTAGTTTCAGTCTCTGTCTTGCTGTGACTGAGGACTTTATCCATGATGGCAAACCATCTGCTTTTTTGCTTTTCCGGGTCTTCCTGTGCCTTGATCCTTCTGTACTTTTGTGTCAGGAGTGCTATTTTCGACCTGCATTGACTCGTGGTCTTATCAAAACCCTGAGTGGCGAGCTCGGAGCTCAGCTGAGCAAAGGCTCTCTCGTTTCTCGGATTTGATCGAAGCTGCTCCTGGACGCTTTCCTCTGCCCATCGACTGAGCAGAGCTCTGACTTCGTCTGGTGTCCAAACAGCCCGCAATTTATCTGCTGGAATCAAAAAAAGAATATAGCAACAGATCAGCAAATTTTTTTCTGCACAAAACTATTTATTATTAAGTTTTAAACAACTTACCATCCACGTGCTCATGTTCTGGTGATTTAGGCTTTTTCTGCACAACGCATGAATTCACCTCTTTCAAAGTTGCTCCATCAGCGTCAAAAACACTATCCAAAATAGCAAACCAGTCGCCTTTAACAACTCCATATGGCTCCATGTGCTTAATTTTTTTGTACTCCTCTTTAAGCTCATTCACTTTGACGCTGCACTGACGTGGTGTCTTGTTAAACCCCACCAGTGATAGCTCACTGCTGAGGTACGTGAAAACCTGATCGCTCGCTGCGGTGAGAAGCTGTTTCTGAATGTTTGGTTGTGCCCAAAGTGTCACCAGCACTTGGACTTCATCAGGCAACCACGGCGTTTCATCTGAAAATGCACAGAAATTTTAGAATAAAAAAAAGTGCATGATTTATGACTTATGTTTACCTAAGAAACATAAAAATATTATTTATTATAGAATTAAAAGTAATCAATTTGAGAGATAACTTGTCAAAACCACAGTTATGAGGACACAGTTAGGTCAATAACTACTCTTAATGGTAGGAGTTATTTCATAGTAGTTTATTTCCAACTTACCATCTGTATCCACATCCAGGGCAATGGCCTGTACAGCTAGGGAGTGCACTGTGGAGGAATTCTGCACTGTCTGTGAACGCTTTGCTGTGAGAGCCTGGGAACTGAGGACTTCATCCATAATGGCAAACCACACACTGCTGCTTCCACCCCTGTATTGGCCGTTCTTGATCCTCTTGTACTCCTGCTTTAGCTTTTTGATCTTCTCCCTGCATTTCTTTGGTGCTTTGTTAAAACCGAGCAAGGCCAGTTTGGAACTGAGACAAGTGTAAACTTTATTATTTCTCACGTTGAGGAGAAGCTCCCGTTGAACCTCGGGGTTTGCCCAAAGCGTCAGCAATGCTTGGACCTCTTTACTCGACCAACAACACAAGGGGGTGTCTGTGAAAGTAACAGAAAATTATTTATTCAAGCCGTAAAGCAGCCTTACTTGTAAATATGTTTGGCTTGATAACTACTTGCCTTTGATTGATGTTTGTACAGCAGTGGAGGTGACTGGATTGCTTGTAGAAGGACCATCAAATTCATGAAGCTGAACAGAATAGAAAGAAGATACTTGTGGAATCCCTGCAGGACAAGCTTTTGGTCTGGGCAGAGTGAGTTGCAGTGAATGGGTGGATGTCGTACAGCTTTCTGGAGTGTCTGTTACAGCGGGTGGACCTTAAAGAGACAAATAACTAATTAAAATTGGCAAAGCTGGGAAGTTAATGTGTTATTCAGTACTGTCCAAAAGTCTTGAGCCACCCTCAGTTTCTTTGTTTTTCTATGTAAGTGCCTTCTCTCTCAAATTCACGCACATTCATAGTTCGATGGATGCATCGGAGAGCAACTTGGGGTTACTCCAAAGACATTTGGCATGCAGACTGAGGATTGATCATTAGAAAGAGTAGTAGCTCTACCTCATGAGCTACAGGCACCCCATATAAGGCATAACAGAGTTTGTACAGTTCTAAGGTGCTTGAAAGTCAATATTTGATATGACCATCTTTATTCCTCAACACACCTTTTACTCTCTTACGCAAGCCTTCTTTTGGAAATTAAATGAAGAAAAAAACTTATCCTCCGAATATGGTCAGGTCTGGATTCAAAATAAGTGAAAAAGCAGCCAGTGCCCAGAGAAAAAGTTCAGAAAACCTGGAAAACTGTTGCTAAAGACCACTTTTTTAAAAAAAATTAAGAGGTGAGGAGTGACTCAAGCCTTTTGCACAGTAATGAGCAGCAAAAACATTAAACAGAAACTATAACAAAACAGCTTGCATCAAGTTCAACAGCTCAGTATACTAAAATACAATATAACATACAGAAACAAACTAAACAGACAGTAAAATAGAGAAGAGAAGCAAGAATCCATATAAAATCTAACTGCTGTTAGTATTTGCTGTACTTTGTATCTGTATTTAATTTATTTCTCTCCAACTTACTTGCTTCCACATCAGGAACCATGACTTCCAGTACCACAGAAGACGGCCGCTCTCTGCTCTGTGTCCGGGCACTCTTGTCACCCATGATAGTGTCCATAGCATCATACCACCTGAAGGTCTTTGTGACTGCCTCACTCCTTTCACCGTGTCTCCTCGTGTTTCTGTATTCCTGTTTAAGTTTCTTTATCTTGGCTCTGCACTGTTTAGCAGAGCGGCTTATTCCCAGAGCAGCCAACCTGCCTGACATCTCCCTGTAAACGGTCTCGTTTCTGAAGGATTCCTCCAGGTCACGCTGGATTTTCTCCTCTGACCACACACCGATAAGCACTCGGGTCTCTTCATGAGACCAGTGCACCAGCGGCTCCATGATCTCTCCTTTCTTGCAGTTCAGAAATCCAGAGCAACTAAGAGAAGCTGGAATGTTTTCACTTTTTTTTTCAACATGGCGCTCCTTCCTCCTGTCGCCTAAATGACGTCACCTCATTGGAGCCAGTGAAGTGGAGCGTTGCCTAGATACGGCTCGGCTGAGGGCGGAGATAGTGGTTGATTACGGTTTGGCTCGTATAGCGGACCAGAGGCGTGCCATCCTGGGCCAGTGGAAATGCGCGGTTAGGTGCCACATTGGTGACGGAAACCGCCCCGTAGTTATGGACTGAACTGAGACCAGTGTTGCCAACTTAACGACTTTGTCGCTATATTTAGCGACCTTTTTTCTAAAAAGCGACTAGCGACAAATCTGGCGACTTTTTCTGGTGTTATTGGAGACTTATTTATGACGACTTTTTGGCGTGAAAGCGCATATCGCTCTTACTCTCAATAAGCAGCGGGTGCTGCTGCGGTGGGCACCTCGCCCGCGCCAAAGCTCACAGGCCAAGGATAGTCCTCCCCCAGCGGCTATCAGGGCAGGAGATGTTCACACCTATGCGTCCAAACTGCAAATGAATCGCGCATGAGCGAAGCCGCTGCTCCCGCACTGACTGTAATGCAGTCAGTTCTTCTTTTACTGTTATGTTGTTTTGTGGACCACAAGGTTTATAACTACTTATAAACACACACACACACACACACACACAAGGTAACGCCACCAGAGTGCCTATTTCGGGTCACTTTTGCCGGTCCAAGCCCGGAAAAGGAGCAGGGTTGGAATTGTTACATAAAAAAAAAAAAAACAATAATTGCTAAAATAAATTTAATTTGTAGTTCTAAATAAATTATAAATGCATTTAAGACGTTTTTTTTACTGACTTTATGTCTCTTCCACGATATTATTTCTCTCTCCAACAGGGTAGGTTACAATACATTAGCATGACCAATTATATTAGCATGACCAATTATGCTAATTAGATGACGATGACGTCATTTAGCGACTTCTAGCTACTTTTAGGACAGCCAATAGTGATTTCCCTTACTGAGGAATTGGCAACACTGGACGGCACCGCGACAGGGCGTTTCCATGAAGTTAAAAAAGAGCAAGCGGCATCATTTTTTGGTTGGAAGTGGCACACTTAAAATCCGACGGTTTCTTTAGTTATGGTTCCGGCGATATATATAAATAAATAAAATAGGAGGACCTGTAAGCGGTTTTACCGTGCTGTCGTACAAATGGTTACAAGAAAGCGAGCTAGCTGTTCCTGGACCACTGTCTTTAATAGGAGGCTTACTATACAGTCACATAAAACTAGGTTTAAAACATTTTAACATGAATGGGAAACGGTTGCAGCAATTTATTGAAACATATGCAAACATACTTGGTAATATAATAAAAAATAAAAAAAAAGCAAAAAAAGACTTCAGACACAGTCTGAACTATATATAGTATATTACACTAAGAATATAAAACAATACTGAAACTAATTAAAAAAATATACACTTAGTATAGTAGTTCAACACTACTAGTAAGAACTATAATAAATCTTCTGCCTGTATATTCAGATACACTAATAGAGGCATTTTTCTTTATTATAGTTATTGGTTTTTTTAAAGCATGTTGTTTACATACTAAAGCTATCTAAATTCAGGACATTCAGAAGACAGTACGGTGGGCATATTGTTGTCGTGAATTAAAATTTAACAAAATACACCAGTGAGAGATGTTTGCCACAAATATTTATTTTACTGAAAAACATCACAAAAAATACTGAGAGTAAGTATATTTCTTTGGGGGTTACATAAACAAAAATGGAATTCACAGAACAACCTCATCACATATTTGCATAAGGTTAAATGGTTGTGCACAGATGAAATAAAGGTCGTCTGTTTCTTGATATTACGTGAACACACACACACAAAACAACTATCAGTTTTAAATCACAAATACATGAATTATATCACTAAAACTATTTGAAAGGCTTACAGTTCATGTTTCATTTTTTTAAAAAAAGCATGTGGTGGAAGTAGTTTTAATTACTAAAATTTCCACAAGAATAGGACAAGTTAAAATGTTTCGTGGCAACACTACAGCATTTTATTACACAGCAGTTTATCTACAGTCACATGCGCTGAAATACTTTTGTTTATATGATACTCATCTCTTAAGTGTTTGCTATATTTAGATAGCCTCTTCAATAGCATGATGCTGGGAAAACATTTTTATCAATGAACATGACTTTTTTTTTCTACATAAAATGATTAACAACATTTTAATTCACAATCAGAAATGCTCTTGGCTACCTTAATTTCCAGATAATGCGACATTTTGGCTAACTTCATCACCTAAAGTTAATTTGTCACATTGCCTTATTTTAAGAACATAAACAGTGGATTCTTCATTAAGATGCTCCAGCTAGTCAGGCACTGATTATAGCACGCTATAACTCTGGTCTGTAGAGTCAATGATTCCTAACATCACTTTAATGACTCAGTGCCTCAACATTAAAACACTTTTATTGAAATGTCAGCGTTTCTTCAGTTAATAATCATCGCTGACCTCCTCTTCCTCATCAAACTTCCTCTTGTGGGAGAGCTTCTTTTGCTTACCCCTGTGCCTCCGCTTACCGGAGAAATCAGGGTTGGCTTCTCTCGTGTGCAGCTGTTCGTGTTTCTTCAGAAGTCCGGGGACAGAGAATCCCTTCCCGCATGTGTCGCACGTCCAGGGCTTCTTGCACGTATGTGTCCTTTTGTGGACGTTCAGGTGGGATGCCAGCTTGTAAGTCTTCCCGCACACATCGCAGCTGAAGGGCCGCTCATTGGTGTGCAGCCTGATGTGGACCTTTAGATTGCCAACCTGAGTGAAGGTCTTTTCACATATAGTGCACCGGTAGGGTCTTTCTCTGGTGTGGATCCTCAGGTGAACCCTCAAGCAGTACTTGCTGGAGAATTTCTTTTGGCAGACAGGACATGGGATCTTTGCTTTGGGGACATGGTCCTGCTGGTGTCTCTTCAGGTCAGACAAATAGACAAAGGTCTTTCCACACTGGGAACAGAGATACTGGCGGTCGCCAATGTGGTAGCCCATGTGTCTCTTCAGCAGGCTGGGGACGAGGAATCTCTTCCCGCAGCGCTCACACATGTGAGGGCGATCTCTGGTGTGCCAGCGCTCGTGGTTCGACAGCTTGAAAGCCGTAGGAAAAACTTTATTGCAGTGCTTGCAAGGAAACGTCATCTGGCTTGTGTGGCACTCCATGTGTCTTTTGAAGTAGGTGGACTGCGTGAAACCCTTGTTGCAGATGTTACAAAAAAATGGCTTTTGCCCACTGTGGGCGAGAATGTGCTTCGTCAGGCTCTGGAGTTTTGTGAAACACTTCCCGCACTGCCCACAAGCGTAAGGACGAGATGCGTTGTGGGTCTTGAGGTGGTTGTTTAGGAAAGCCTGTGTTCGGAAACTTTTGTTGCATGCTGAGCAGTGGAAAGGCTTCTCTCCTGTATGAATTCGTTCGTGGTCCATCAGCTTGGACTGATAGGGGAAGCTCTTATCACACACACTGCAAGTAAACCTGTCGCCCAGAGGCCTAAATTGCTTTTTTCTTCTTATGCTTGGCCTTGCGTCATCTCCAGCACTCAGCCTGGGTGGAGGAAGAGGTGGCAGGGCAGGGAGTGACAGAGAGTTGGAGGCTATCTGTGACACCCACTGATGCAAAGTGACACGCTGAGTCTGGGGCTTCTGGCCATCTTTTGTTCCCGCACCATCTGCATTTGGTAAAGTGGGAGCAGTTTTGCACGGCACCGTAACTACCCTGAAAGGGATTGATTTCAAAGGCAGTGGCTGTGGTGCTGGTTTCTCTGCTTCTGATGGTGGCGGTTGGGGTGCATTATTCTCTTTGCTCTGCGGAGTTGGAGCAGGCTGTTCTTGTGCAGAACTCTCTTTCTGCACCAAATTCTCCTTTTGAGCTGCTGTTGTGACACTCCTTTCCTTTGATGCAGAGCTATAAAGTGTTTTAAAATCATACCGCCCCCTGCGCGGAGGACTGTAAATGTTGACTGCTGGGCTGTCAGGGTCATCTGAAATTACAGCCACGTCTTCGGTGTCACTGACGGAAGTTTGGTTTGTTTCTTTAGCTGTGACCTCTACTGTTTTTGGAGATTCTGGTGGTGGATCAACAGGTTTGGGCCGGAAGGCAAGTGAAGAGAGGACACAGTCGCCCACTGAAGACGAGATAGTGGCTGCACAAAAAGAAGTGCACATTTTTTAAATTGAACTGAACGAGTTATAATACCAACAAGCTTAGACACCCATATATCTGTTGTTATATTTTGATAAAAAAAGGAATAAAAATTAAAAAAACAAAAACTTTCAATCTTTACACAGCCTAAAGTATACCTTTAACACCAAGGAGTCCTTTGGCCTGCTGGTGTAGAAGGAGTGTCTTCAGATCCACTGGATCAGGGATAAAGCCTCCACATGCCTCCAGAACACTGGGCTCCGTTGAAATCATGGCACCAAGCTGAAGTTCAGGCATTAAAATTAATTAATGCTTCTTTCAGTTGCTTCCTTATAAGAAAAGACTCGGCACAGTGGATGGATGCACATTAGGGCTGGGCTATATCATACCGTTCACGATAATATCGGTGTAATTTTGGGCAACGATAGGAAAATGAAATATCGCGATAGAATATGGGTAAAACACGCATGCGCACTAGGTTTGCATACGCAAATGGCGGCGACGTAGAATGTGAAAAGCGAAAGCGGATCGTTAAATGAAACGGATGATCGTTAAATGAAACGGATGAACCAGAATTGGTTTGTAAAAATGCTGCAACTTCAGTGGTGTAGAACTGGTTTGGCTTTCGTCCGTCAGATACACAACAAAGCACTATTTTTGGTAGAGCATGCTAGCGGGCCGTCGTTATTACCGTGTTTTTTGGAAAATACGACACACTTAAAATACATCCTTTGATTTTTTCTTAAAATCGACAGTGCCCCTTATAATCCCGTGTGCCTTATGTATGAATTCTGGTTGTGTTTACTGACCTTGAAACGATTTTATGTCGTACATGGCGCTCGAAAATCTGTCAAATGTTTTAGTACGACTTTGCTAAGCTACGAACCCGCACCGCTTGATGGATTGTCGGAGCGTAGGCAGGCGCCTCGCGGAGTGATACATACTGTGCTTCAACACAATATTACCGTATTTTGTGTTTATCACCTCTTTTTAAGTTTTGTGGATGTTATACATGGTTATGCTGAGGATATGTCGGCCAATTTCCACTGGAAATGCCTTTTGGTTCAACTGTCAGCGAGGAATTTGCACTGTTACATTTTTATATAACTTTAATGCACATGAAAAACAGCTGCTTGTTTAAGTGAAAATACATTGATGGGGTTTTTTGCACTAATAAAGTTGTGGAGTTGTAAAGTATTTTGTCTAGTGTCAATTATATCGTTATCGCAAATTTTCAAATGTATATCGTGATAAATATTTTTGGTCATATCGCCCTGCTCTAATGCACATATTTGATTTGGCACAGATTTTTATACCGGATGCCCTTTTTGACACAGCCCTTCCAGGGATTTGAGTCTACATTTGTCTACATTTTCACATTAGACAAATAAAAGCCTTTAAATAGAGACTTTAAAATTTCTGTTATCAGTGTCAAACAGACAGACAATTAATTTTCTAACTCTGACCTACATTTATGATAAAAAATAATTAGGTGCTCCATTATCCATGGCGTAGAGACGTACACTTTAATGAGTGTTAAGATGAATAAGAATTATATTCTGCTTTAGTTGTGGCCAATTACGGAACCGGATAAACACTCTGAAAGTCTGCAACAGCATGTTTTGCAACTGAATTTAGATCCTGAGAAAAGACATGTCGGATCTCTAAAAAGTAGCCCACCCTGCTGTGAGAGCCCTGGGATAAATGTCATAAATGTATCACAAAGGCATACCTGGGACAAATTGGGCATAGGAAGAAGTTGCTCCAGCTTGCACACTAAGCCTGCAATCAGAGTCTGCAGTGCTGTGTCAAACTTTGTGCCATACTGAACAGGGAACACTTCCTATTAAGGGAAAAAAAATGTTTAACCATGTTGTAAACAGTAAATGGCATATCTCTAAACACTATACTGACAACAAAAGAGGAAATACAAGGGTTACAACCAGTGCCTGTATAATACCACATTAGCATGTTTACCCTGAAGAAGCGCTTCCTCTCAGTAGGGTTTTTAAGCAGATTCTGGACCAGTACCATGAAATTTGTTTGCGATTTCTCCACTTCTGCATCCTTCTGCAGCAGAGGAAACACTTAAACTCAGATTTAATCCACGCATTTAAAAAAATTTGCAAATGAAACTTTCAAGCAGAATAGTTTTTTTTCACACCTACCCCTGATAATGTGGAGACCTTTAATTTATTTATAAGAGTCTGTATCGCCTTAGAATCCGGTGGACCGTCTTTACGAAGCAAATCCAAAATGATCTGCAGCACAAGAGCACATTAGTCACCATACAGATTGTATTAACTGCCCCCCGCCACCACCACCAATTGTAGTGTAAAGGAGGCTTGTAAAAAATAAATAAATAAAAAATCACTAATCTAGACTCATACAATTTATGGATTACTCTCAGCTTCATAATCATCAACTAGCATTTGATGCAGACACACAAACAGCTCACCCTTGCTCTCAGCCCCAAGATCAGCTGGGCAGTCTGTTTGAAACTCATGAGGTCAGGAACAGTCTGTACCACCATGGTCACAAACTCCTCCACTTTCCCATACTGCTTAACGTTTTTCTGCCGTACGACCTGCCAGATGTACGAATATGTCAGCTGCAGAGGAGATGCCATAAGGCGAAGGGAGGCCAAGGGAAGGGCACCTGAAAACGAGTTTGAAAACATTACGTTGCATAATGTGGCTGTTATGAGGCCAATATTTAAAAAAAAATGTAATCTCCGGCATCCACACCCACAAACTTAGCACAAATCCGCCCTGTGTCAGTGATAGCAAATTGGCGAGTTTTGGTCATAGAAAAACTTCAGACGTTGTGCCATTTGTGGGGTTGTGCCATTGCTGCCTGTAGGGGGCGCTGTAGCGCAAGCGGGAGGCTTTTGAAGGCTGCAGAGAAGCCGCAGAGGGTCTGAAAAAGTGCACGCCTGCGTGTGCGTGTGCAATAGTGTAGAGAATGAGCGCCAATTTTCTGCAGAGCTGGATTCAAACTTCAAGTAGATGTTGGGCTCATCTTACCGTTATTCGTGGGAGTTAGCGTAAACGATAATATACAAAGACAAACGAGTGCATCCGGAGGATGGATGTTTTAATTTAAAAGCTTTAGCCTCCTGAGCTAGTTAGCCATGTAACTACTTGTCAAACAGCGCTCAAAATATCCTGAGAGATGTAACTGCATTCAGGGTGGCTATAGGTTTAGAGGAAAGTGTCTGCTTACTGCAACAGATGGATGGCGTTGCATCTTCTTTTCTCACCGCCTGTCTCGGTGGCGGATAGCGACAGATAGCTTACAAGCGTTAGCTTAGCAACTTACTTGTAGTATGAGAGCGTTTTTCCATACTGTGCTCAGGATGCGTCACCACTTCAAGAGACGGTCAACCGACAGCACCAGACAGACTGTAACAGTTTAAATCGAAATGTAACGTTTTTAAAGTAATAAACCGTCTTTAGCTTGAGCGTCAAGCCAGGAAGAATAATGGCGACCGCTTAGCAGCGGCTTTCCAAAACAAAAGTCCGGGTACATCCGGCGGATGTTCCTAAACAATATAAAAGCACCAAAATCTTCATTGTTCAGGAGGAGGAAGAAAAACTATGAAAAGTTTCTTTAAATTATTACATTAGTGAGTCAATTGACAAGGAGGCGAGCTTCATATAATGAATCCAGTGCAGTGTAAACCAGCATTAGGAACAGGCTGTGTATAAATATTTAGTTGGAAATCTTTTTGTTTTTGACTGGGACAAAAGAGAAACAAAACAAGCCCCCCCCCC